ATCGCGAGTTGTTCAAATCGCGGTAATCTAATACTGTTTTAATGATAATTAAAAGATGAAACGGTAATACTAACCGTGGGGAATTTTATCATGATTTATCGTCAAACCGGTAATCGTTACATCCCTAATGTGGTATAGCGGATATTAGGGCTGTAAGTATATTTGAACGGCCTGTAGTGTGTTTGACATGTCTTTGTGTTTTCTGGGAGAGCTGACAGCTGGATGTTTGCTCATCTGTTGTGTCAGCGCACCAGCTACCACTCTGGCGAGTCACGCATCATCATAAATCAGCAGGCAGTTGAGATGGCACGAGCTTCTCTCACTGGTGTGATGTTTCATGCAAGAGGTAATAGCAGTCATGGAGCTTCTGAACCCATTATCATCTCAGTCACAAGTGATAACAGGTCATTAATGAGAGTCCTTCATTTAGATCAGGAGTTGGGAACCGTTTTAACCGTTTTTGGGGTTGTACGTTTTTTGCTTGTTTGTTTTGTTTTTAAAAGAAGTCTCATGTTCATCAAGGTTGCTCAAAAATATTTAATAAATACAATTAAAATATTGTGAAATATTACAGTTTAAAATAACTGTTTATATCTAAATATAAAAAAAAAAAATTAATTACATTTTCAGTAGCCATTAGGGTTGGGCCGATAGATGATGCCATCGTCCATCGCTGATGGCTGATAGACATCACGATGTTGAGCCGGCATCCCAATACCGTGTTCGGAAAGAAAATGACGTGTAGGCGGAACCCCTAAAGGGAATAAATATGAGATGGGAGGAAAATATATATTCAGTATTTATTATATTATTGGGTAATTATACTACATATATATTTCGGCATCAGGGAGCCGCTATTATACCTGGCATTGAAACTGGCATCGTGCTTTTGAATGCACGATCGCTTTTAGTTTCACTTTCACTTTCGAGATTCGCGATCTCACGTACTCTGTTTATACTATGGAGTACTTGCCACACATTTTACAAGATTATATGTTTGTCAGTGATACTGAGGATCTGCAAATCATTCACAATCGTCCTCAGTCATCTCTCCTTACTCTGTTTATGTGGTAAGTGAAATTTTATGTACTGTAATGTAACAGACAACCGTTACACCGTGTCTACACCGGACGCGACAGTTGTCGAGTCGCGCCGCGCCG